TGACCCCCCCCCGACAGCTCTTTGTATCCCCCCCCAGCTGGCCCTGCTGCACTCGCCCCCCATGTCTGAGATCTTCGTCTTCACGGACGCCTCGGCGAAGGACGCCCACCTCCGGACCAGCGTGGAGGCCCTGATCCAGGAGCGCAGGTGCAAGGTGGGCAGCCCCTGGTGGGTGGGAGACCCTACCAAAACAAACGGATGCTCGAGAGACCCTACAATAACAAACTGGCAGAGCAAAGGTAAACGGTAAAGCAAAACGACGTTGGGACTTCCGGGAGGCCCTGTAATAACAAACCGCCCGAACCGAGAGAAGTGAGAAATCAAACCAAGGAGAGCACTTTTGGTAGGCCCTACAATAACAAACCTCCCTAACAACAGGAAACCAAAACAAGAAGAGCATTGTGTTAGGCCCGGATATAACACAAACCACCCTACTAATGATTAAATAACAAACCAAAACCACCCCAGCGCTTTGAGTAGGTCCTACAAAACCAAACCAAAACAATGCCCGTGCTTTCAGTAGGCCCTACCATAACAAACCGCCCCACAAAAGATTAAATAACAAACCAAAACCGCCTCCGTGCTTTGAGTAGGCCCTGCAATAACAAAGCCACTGTCTCGCAGCTCCCTGGGGAGTCTAACCACCTCTTGTTTCTTCACCAGGTGACTTTCCTGATCACGGAGGACCCCTCCAGGACGCGGGTGAGGCGGGAGGTGCTGGCCGCTGACCGCTTTGACCTGTACGTAGACCTGGCCCGCAGGTCCGGGGGCCAGGTCATCTTCACTGACAACGCCAACATCCAGCAGGTGGCCGGCATCATCGGAGAGACCACTGCTTCCTCGGTACCGAGAGGGGACCCAGGCGTCCGGGATGGCAGCACAGGGCTCTCATGCCTGGGGGGCCGGAGACAGGGATGGGGAATGGGACCCAGGCGTCTGGGACAGCAGCACAGGGTTACCCCTGGGTGGGGCTGGAGACAGAGATGGGGAATGGGACCCAGGCGTCAGGGACAGCAGCGCAGAGTTGTCACACTTGGAGGGTCTGAAGACAGGGATGGGGAATGGGACCCAGGCGTCTGGGATGGCAGCTCATGTCCCTCACCTCTTGGAGGGGGATGGAGCGGAGGACCGCGGCGTCCGGGGCGGTGCTGACCCTGCTGTGTTTGGGGATGGGGGCCCTGTGTTTCCAGGTGACCCTGTTTCAGTACCAGAAGGGGGGCAGCTTGGGCCCCGGAGGGCTGGGCCGGAGGGGGCGGAAGAAGCGGGCCGCCTGGGAGAGCCACCACTTCCGGATCGACAGCCGAGTGGACGGGGCCGTCGTGACCGTCCAGGGGGACGTCGGCACCTTCCGGCTCCGGGACCCCACTGGTGAGTCCAGAGGGAGATGCCCCACCCGATCTGGAGGGAAGGGATCTGCGTGTCCCGGCCCCTGTCCATCTGCCCCTTTGTCTCACAGGGATCTCCCAGACCTCAGACGCTGCCAGCGGCCCTCTGGGCACCGGCCGGCGATTCGGGACTTTCCACCGGCTCGAGCTCTTGCCCCGGCCGCCCGTCGGCCTCTGGACCCTGGAGGTGCAGGTGCAGGGCAACTATTCGGTGTACGTGCGAGGTGAGGAAAGGGTTAAACCTGGGAGTGGGCACCAGGGCAGGGATGGGTGAATGAATGGATGAAGGCAGAGATGGACAGATGGACAGAGAGAGCCAAGATAGATGGGTAGCTGGGCAGATGGACAGACGAGGGCAGAGACGGATGGACAGACGGATGGGCCAGAGATGGATGGGTGGATGGACGCAGAGATGGATGGGTAGCATGGGTGGATGGACAGACAGATGGGGCAGAGATGGACGGGTGGATGGATGCAAAGATGGATGTACCAATAGA